GAGAGAGAGAGAGAGAGAGAGAGAGAGAATTTTTTTAATATTTATTTTTTAGTTCTCGGCGGACACAACATCTTTGTTGGTATGTGGTGCTGAGGATCGAACCCGGGCCGCACGCATGTCAGGCGAGCGCGCTACCGCTGAGCCACATCCCCAGCCCCACTGATATTCCTTTGTACAGAAGTTTCCCTTGACAATGGAATAAAATATAGATTTTTTCAAAAAGGCAGGATACAGATCCAGGCCTGGTGGCTGAGGCAGAAGGATCACAGGTTCAAGGCCAGCCTGGGCAACTCAGTGAGACTGTCTTAAAATTAAGAAAAAATAAAAACTAGAAAGGGCTTGGGGTGTGGCTCGGCGGTAGAGCATTCTTGGTTTCCATTCGCAGTACTGGGGTATAAAAGAAGGAGGAAAGTATAGGCTTAATTACCTTAATTACTGTGTATCCAAGTAGAGAAACTGAATGTAATGATAATTTACAATGCTAGCAAATGATTTCTTTTTCTCTTTTTTTGAAAGTCATAGTCGAAAAGGTAAAAACATACATATTTGATATATTTTGTCAAAGACCCATGGAGGGCTGGGGTCGTGGCTCTGTGGTGGAGCGCTCGCCTAGCGCGTGCGAGGCCCTGGGTTTGATCCTCAGGTTCAGGAAAAATAAATAAATAAATAAAATAAAGGTATTGGGTCAACTACAGCTAAAAAAATAAAATAAAATATTTTAAAAAAAGACCCATAGTGATTATCATTTTCCACTCCCATCAGCATTGTAGAAAAGAGTCCCTTAGTCAGGTGAGGTGATGCATACCTGTAATCCCAGAGAGTCAGGAGGCTGAGGCAGAAGAATGGTAAGTTCAAGGCTAGCCTCAGCAACTTAAGGAGGCCCTAAGCAACTTAGTGAGACCCCGTTTCAAAAACTGGAGGTATAGGGCTGGGGATGTGGCTCAAGTGGTAGTGTGCTCGCCTGGCATGCGTGCAGCCCAGGTTCCATCCTCAGCACTACAAACAAAGATGTTGTGTCTGCCGAAAACTAAAAAATATATAATAAAAAAAAGAGAGTACTTATAAAAACAAACAAACAAACAAAAAACTGGAGGTATAGCCCAGTGGTAAAATGTCCCTGGTTTTAGTCATTAGCACATATACACATGTGCACACACATGGAATCCTTGTTATTCCTGTTTTTTTTTTGCGGGGGGCGGGGTACAGGGGATAAAATCCAGGGGCACTCTACCATTGAGCTACACCTCCTACCTCTTTTTATATTTTGAGATAGGGCTTTCTAAATTGCTGAGGTTGGTCTCCAACTTGTGATCCTCCTGTCTCACCCTCTCCAGTGRCTGGGATTCCAGGCATGTGTTGCTGGCTTTTTTGTTTGTTTRTTTTGTGGCCTTGCCAAGACAGTCTGTTTTCAAACATTTGAATCATTTGCCAGGGAAATATTTAAGTTTTTGTCTAATGTGTTAAATGAGATATAGTATCTTAATGTAGGCATCTCTTCTACAAATGAGGCCGAACATCTTTTTTATTTAAGAGTCATTTGCCTTCCTTTTGTATTCTGCCTGTGACTTTTGCCTGTTTTTCTAATGAGTAGTTTGTTCTTCATTCTAATCTGAATTCTCCCCATGTATTAGAGAGATTAGCTCCTTGTTTCTAAAATAAATTGAGAATTGTTTTTCTTTCTTTTTGTTTTTATAATTTATCATTTGTTGTTTTTTTTTACTTTGCTTAATGTATTTGTATGATATTTGGGTTTGGGTATTGAATTTATTGGTTATTTTTAAAAAAATTGCTTTTGGATTTTTCAGCCAGAGTTCTCCCCTCACACTCGGATTGTAAAGGGTTTTTCCTATGTTTGCTGCTGGTGCTTGTAGGACCTCTCCCCTCCCCTCTCCCTTTTATCCCCTCTTCTACATTTATATTTCTTTCCCCTGCTTTCTTCTTCCATCTCTCTGAACTTTTTGATTTCTGGAGTTTATTCTGATACAGTGTATGATATATATCCACTGTTCTTTTTTTTTTTTTTTTTCAGTGGCTGGACTACTGACTATTGTTTTCCCAGGGATTTGAAGTATACCAAATTTCCAAAAAGTTTTGCTTTTTTGGATTTTCTATTCTCAAATCTTCTATTTTCAGATCTTCTATTCTCTTACAGTAGTGTTGCGGGAAACAGACTGATCCACAAGGAACAAGTAGCACTCAGAGAGGAGAATTCCAAATTTTTAATTTTATGCAGGTGGGCCCAGAAGAAAACAAAAACTCCAAATTCTGAGCCCTGATCTGAAGTTTCTCACAATATTTATAGGTTATTTCAAGTCATCTTAGAACCATCCTATCATTGGGGCTTTTCATCTTTTTTTAAAAAAAATCCTAATCTACGCAGCTGAAGGCCCTGTCCAGGGTCTCTAACATCAAGCATGCTCACAAAAACAGATAAGAAGAAATCTGTTACATTTCAAGAGGGAGTAGTCAGATTCCTAGGGCAGTTATWTACAATCCATGGTTAATTAGGCTTCCTGGAGAAAGGCTTAGAGAAGGGAGTGGAATTGACCCCTTCTCCAGGCATTGGTTTCTTACCATAGCGTTTTTTGTAATTTCTTTTCACAACCATGTCTGGTTTTGCCATCACAGTAGTAGTGTTGAGTTAACTCAGGGGATAGAAACTATAAATACTTTCAACAGGGGAAATCTTTTGTTTCTATTTTTTGAGATGGACATCTTGCTAAATTGCTTAGCTTGGTCTCCAACTTGTAATCCTCCTGCCTGTGCCTCCCAAGTAGCTGGGACTACAGGCTCTACCACCATACTCAGCTAACAGGGGAAGTTTAAAGAATTACCAACTACGGTAACAGATTAAGTATAAAAGATAAGGAAACTCTCTTTGGCACCCCATGACTGAGGAGTAACACCTAAGGAAGAACAAATTTGGAAGGAGTTCAAACCTCACTGGATAAGCGAGGTTTGGCCATGAAGTAGCAGAGGTATTGATTGATTTAGCCTGGCTGGTCTGGCATTGCAGGGCCAGCAAAATGCACCCTCTAAAGTGCCCCTGTGCAGATGGCAGTCAGTAACCAGTGTGAATGCATGGTCAATGTAGGTCCAGGTTCCCTCAAGGCCAGAAGGCCTTCACAGCATGCAAGTTGTAGAGTGATTTCTTCACCTCCTTCCCTGTCTCTTCCACTTCTTCCACTGAACCACATCCCGAGGCCTTAAATATATATATATATATATATATATATATATATATATTCTCCCTAAACTGTTTAGGGACTCTCTAAGTTGCTGAGACTGGCTTTGAACTCTCAATCCTGTTGCCTCAGCCTCCCAACATGCTGGGATTATGGGTATGTGCCACCTCTCTGGATAAGGTGATATTTCTTAATGAATTCCTTTGAGATGTTGACCCTTTGGACCGCAGCCTGGATGGGTGGCTGTGGAAAAGTTATCACCAACCTGAGGCTACAAGATTGCAGAGGGACCTTGTTTATTATTGAAAGAACACAGTGTATTTGAATATGTTAATAATATTAGCCTGGATCATTGATCTTCTTTAGGGTTTACCTGGCTATTCCTATTTTTCCACATGAGCTTTCAAATAAACTTCTCGAGCTCCAGAAAAAGCATACTTGATGGCATTTTATATATTCTTTTGGTTTTTAGTTTTCAAAAGTATTTTAGAAGACCAACCAGGAGGTCCAATTGTCTCAGCACAAACTTCATTAAACCTGTCCTTGTCACCAGTGCATGATATAGCCATCCAGATGATACCTTTTGTCACATGGAAATTAATCTGTTAGATGACTCTAAAGTGGAAAGGCAACCAACTAGGAAAAGGCTTTAAATTGTAGTCATTTCCAGCTGGATGAAGAACCTTCGAGTTTCTGGCATTAGCAGATGGGTTCTATTACCTGACTGGTAAGAGAATAATGTTAGGCTTGTCAGAGCCTCACTAGAACTCCCAAAAAGTTCAAGGGTACTTATGGTCGCATTCTATGGCCATATGTTGCTACTGTTAATGTCTGTTTCTTTTTTAAAATTAAAAAAAATAACCTTTTAAATTTTTATGTGGTGCTAAGGATTGAACCCAGTGCCTCACATGTTCTAGGCAAGTGCTATACCACTGAGCCACAACTCCAGCCCATTAATGTCTGATTCTATTGAATAAAACACCTTCATGTGGGCTCTGGTGTGAACTGGTGTCTGCTCTAGTATAGACTGAGCAGGCCTCATCACTGGTTTATCTTATGCTTGTATGGCTTGATTTTAGTTTTGTATTCCCTATAAAGGAATACCACCGTTGAACTCAACACAATTTATAGTGAAATAAAATTAAAATATCGTAGAATAAATTATCATGGTTAAATAACTACCACAACAATGAAGCAATAAAGAAGTAAATGAGGATTGGGATTATGGCTCATAAGTAGAGCATTCACCTACTATGTGTGAGGCCCTGGGTTCGATCCTCAGCACCACATAAAAATAAATAAATAAAATAAAGATAGTGTGTCCAACTACAACTAAAAAATAAATATTAAAAAAAGAAGTAAATGAATGAGAGTTTCATACTTCACATTCCTACCCCTCTGTAGTTAATATTTTCACATGTATCTTTTTGGATGTATTTGTAATCCCATATAAAGGTGTGCATTTATAAAAAAAAAAGTTTGAATACTTTTTAACAGTTACTTCTATAGCTCATAGCCGTATCTTTTGTTTCTCTTTACAGCCATTATACCTGCCCATGAGTCCTTGAGTCCTTTATAATGTCCCTTTGTGCCTCTTCTCACAAGGAGTTTTCTCAGCTGCTGCCTGTTCAAGACATGGATATCAAAAACTCACCATCTAGCCTTAACTCTCCTGCCTCCTACAACTGCAGTCAATCTGTCCTACCCCTGGAGCATGGCCCCATATACATCCCTTCCTCCTATGTAGAGAGCCATCACGAATATTCGTCCATGACATTCTATAGCCCTGCTGTGATGAATTACAGTATTTCTAGCACTTCAGATAACATCGAAAGTGGGCTTGGTCAACAGACAGCAAGCCCACATGTGTTATGGCCAACTCCTGGGCACCTGTCTCCTTTAGCAATTCACTGTCAGTCCTCACTTCTGTATGCAGAGCCTCAAAAGAGTCCTTGGTGTGAAGCAAGATCACTGGAACACACCTTACCTGTCAACAGGTAAATGTAGTCTTCATTCTGAACTGCAGTTCGTGGGCATGATGCACTTTGCTCTGTGGTTTAATGAGAAGAAAGATGTGTGTTATACAAGGTCTTTATTTTGTCACCTAGATAACTTAGAGCACCGAAAACATATGATGCCCTCATTAAAAGGTTGTGCTTGTAGATAGGTATCATGGGGAGAATTCACTGTCTTTATGTGATGAAGATTGACCTTGAATCAGGCTGGGATTGTGGCTCAGCAGTAGAGCACTTGCCTAGCACATGTGAGGCCCTGGAATCGATCCTCAGTACCACATAAAAATAAACAAAATAAAGGTATTGTGTACAACTAAAAAAWTTTTAAAAATTTAAAAAAGATGGACTTCGAATCACTTTCCTCCCAATGAAGCTATTTGGGTTTGAAAAATAAATCTTTACTTTCAGGTTAGAATCTTTTTGTGAGTCACAACTTAGTGTTCAGGACAAATTGTTTCCAGGATAAAAGTAAATAACATGCTCTGAAAAGGTRATTAGTACAAGCTTTCTAAACCATGAACTAAAACAATACTTTAAGAAGTTTGGTGAGAAAATGCATAAATGTAGGCTTCTGTTAAGTTTTTCTGAAATTAAATATTTGAGCTCTTTAAATGCAAGGTAACATGATGAATTATTTCAGTCTAAATTTTTATATTTTTAATAATTAGTATGGCTGTAGAGGGAAAGGATGGTATCAAAAGAAGGACAAAGAAGAAATAAACTTCTAAAACAAGCAGAATGCTACGTTAGGGCATGTTGGGTATTGAAATTCATCACTTTTGAGAAATCAGGCAGGGGATATGGCTCTGTGATTGAGCATGTGCGTGGCGCATGTGGGACCATGGGTTCAATCCTCGGCATGCATAATTATAAAAGGAACTTTGAGAAAATGTTATATAATAATTTTAGTTTTCGGGTTGGGGATGTGGCTCAAGCTGTAACGCGCTCGCCTGGCATGTGTGCAGCACTGGGTTCGATCCTCAGCACCACATACAAATAAAGATGTTGTGTCCGCCGAAAACTAAAAAATAAATATTAAAAAATTCTCTTTAAAAAAAAATAATAATTTTAGTTTTCTTCTTTTAATAACAACTTTATATTGGTGGATAAAAAAGAGAATATAAAAATTGTAGGTAACTTCAAAAATTGTGTTTTGTGGTGTGTGTGTGTATGTGTGTGTGTGTTTGCATGTATAGTATCTGAATATCCAATTGTTCTCCACTATTTTTTTTTTTTTTTTTGTAACAGGGATTGAACCCAGGGGCACTTAACCACTGAGCCACATCAGTGTTTTTTTTTTTTTTAATTTTTTGTAGTTATAGATGGACAGAATGCCTTTATTTTGTTTATTTTAATGTGGTGCTGAGGATCAAACCCAGTGCCTCATACATGTGAGGTAAGTGCTCTGCCACTGAGCCACAATCCCAGCACTCTGCCACTGAGCTACARCCCCAACCCCCCTGCCCTTTTTATGTTTTATTTTGAGACAGGGTCCGGCTAATTTGCTGAGGCTGGCCTCAAACTTGCTATCCTCTTGAGCTACTGGGATTACAGGTGTACACCACCACATTCAGCAAAAATTGTAGAAAACTTTTTTTGGGGGGAGGGTACTGGAGATTGAACCCAGGGGCACTCAACCATTGGGGCACATCCCCAGCCCTTTTTTGTATTTTATTTAGAGACAGGGTCTGACTGAGTTGCTTAGCACCTTGATTTTGCTAAGGCTGGCTTTGAACTCATGATCCTCCTGCCTCAGCTTTCCGAGTTGCTGGGATTACAGGTGTATGCCACCATGCCCAGCAAAAAATTATAGGTAACTTTTTTGAAGAAATGTTGGGTTGGGGGCATATAGCTCAGTGTTCAAGCCCTCATCTCACACATATGACACACTGGATTTGATCCTCAACACTATAAAACATAAATAAATACAGTTTAAAAATATAAAAGTAATGTTTTCCTTTAAAAGAGGAAATATTTTTGTTTCTGAGCTTGAATTCTAATAAAAGTTTTGTTAATATTTGGACAAATTAAGAAATAAGTCAGTAATACCCCTACTATTCCCTTTTCAAAACAAACATGCTCAGACAAAATTAGGAACTTGCCAGGTGTGTTTTTAGTGCCCCCTAGTGTTCCCTTGCTGGGTTCTGTTCCTCCTTGGTATCCCTTGCCCCGAAGCAAGCTTTGAGCCTCTGCTTCCTTCCTGTGCATGGATGGGCATAAACTCACCTAACCACTTTCACACATCAGTCATTCTCCACATAGATCTGATATCAGTAACAGAGGTTCTGCTCCATCAGATTTCCTAGAATACATTTATCATGAGTCCTGGAAGGCAAAGAGATTAAATTAGACTATGTTCATGCCTYTTTTTCTTCCCCCTAAAAACCCTTTCTTTCTCTTCATGCTCTTTTACAATGGATGTTTTCTTTGCCTTCCCAGAGAGACACTGAAGAGGAAGGTCAGTGTGAACCATTGCACCAGCCCTGTTACTAGTCCAAGTTCAAAAAGGGATGCTCACTTCTGTGCGGTCTGCAGCGATTATGCGTCTGGATATCACTATGGAGTCTGGTCGTGTGAAGGATGTAAGGCCTTTTTTAAAAGAAGCATTCAAGGTACAAGAGTATTGTTAACTGCTCTTTTAGTTTTCCACTTTTGCTTTTAAACAGTTTTGCAGAGATGACCTGGTAGAGATTTCAGCAATGATCTGTTTGATACATTCACGTGAAGATTGGAGGATCATATGTGTTTGGGAGTGGGCTGGGAGGAGCYGGTATGTGGGTTGTTTCAAGTGCACAGAACTTTATCTTTGATTGTCTTGTTCTATGCCACAACCCTAAGGTCATACAGCCAACTCAAATGGGTCTTGCTCCTCCTTTTACCCCCAGGATCATGGGGAGATGTCCAGTTACAGTTTCAAAAAGATAATGCTTGGAAAAGGTGCACTTGTTAGAAGGTGCAGAGGTTTAATATAGGGCACGCTTAACAGGCCTGACAGTGGGATGGCTCCTGAGGAAAGGAGAATAAATAGATTTTATGGAAATGGTCAGAAATCAGGAATTCAGCTGCAGCAGACTTTGAGAATTGATGAAATGCTGTCTTCTTGAATTTAGAGTTTCCTGCATGACTCCCTGTTTTCTGCTCTGGGATTAGATCATTTCTCTAACATTCTCCAATTTCCTTCTGGGCTAGGGTTCATGTATTTGGTTTGCTAATTTTCAAAAATCACCTTTTCGTCAATTTCAAGTTGTGCATGACTGGCTTCAGGACCAGTCAGCCCAATTCTGTACACATCCTTGCCATCACTCCCTCCCATGCCAGCCCTGATTGTGCTGAAGTCTCTTTGTTTGTTGGCTGTGTTTCTTTCTTTCTCTTTGCCTCGTAATTTCTTCTTCAGATGTCCCTTCTGGGCAATGTTCTTGTGTAGCTCCTTCCCCCACCTACCTATCTTTCTTTCTTTTTAAATTTTGAGACAGGGTCTCTCGAAGTTGCTGAGGCTGGCCTCAAACTTGTGGTCCTCCAGCCTCGGCCTCCCAAGTTGCTGAGATTCAAGAATGTACCATGAGGTGGTCTTCTTCCCTTTTCTATCAAAGCCTCAGTGCCTGTTTTTTTTTTTTTTTTTTTTTGGTACCAGAGATTGAACTCAGGGGCACTCGACCACTGAGCCACATCCCCAGCCCTATTTTGTATTTTTATTTAGAAACAGGGTCTTGCTGAGTTGCTAAATGCCTGCCCATTGCTGAGGCTGGCTTTGAACTCATGATCCTCCTGAGCTGTTGGGATAATAGGCACACGCCATCGAGCCTGGCTTAGTGCCTTGTTCTTTTTTTAAAAAAAATTTATTTTTTAGTTGTAGATGGACACAATATCTTTATTTTATTTATTTATTTTTATGCAGTGCTGAGGATTGAACCCAGGGCCTCATACATGTTAGGCAGGTACTCTGCCGCTGAGCCACACCCCTAGCCCCAAGTGCCTGTCTTGACCAATTAAGAACAGCAGCCTTAAGGGGGTTCATAGTGTGCAAATGGCAAATAACAATTAACTTACCCACTGATAAGTGCAGATTAAGAGGAAGTTTTACCTGAAGCAGAGAAGCACCAATAGCACCCAGACGGTGGTGAGGAGAAGAATGTTGGTGGATAAAGTCATCTTTCTATGTAGCTCTGAAATTTACCCTGTTTGATAACCACCCATTTATCCTGGATCTTCCATGTTATAGCTCTTTGGCTTCATCTGAAGCTTCCTCTGTGAAACAGAGATACTCAGAGTTGTTCTAAAGATGAAATGAAGTTGATTATGGCAAATATATCTAATGCTTARATATTTTTTTATGATTATCATAGTAGCGAATTATTAGGCCAGTTTTTTGCCATATGTGATGTGGACAGTTCACATTTCCTGAAATTCAGAACTGAATTCTTGATATACAATTTTWAAATTTTTGTGGTACTGGGGTTTGAACACAGGGACACTCCACCAGTGAGGTACACCCCCAGGCTATCCCTTTCCACCTTTGAATTTGAGACAAATCTAAGTTTCTGAGACTGGCCTTGAACTTGAGATTCTTCTGTCTCAGCCTCCTGAGTCACTGATATTAAAGGTGTGTGCCATCATACCAGCTTGATATGATTCTTGAATTCTGTATTTTTCTGAGGTTCTGGAATTTTACCCCTTGAGATTTTATATATATATATATATTTTAGTTGTAGTTGGACACAATACTTTTATTTATTGATTAGTATGTGGTGCTGAGGATTGAACCCAGGTCCTCACACGTGCTAGGTGAGYGCTTTACTGCTCAAATCCCAGCCCAAGGATTTTTTTTTTTCTTTTTTGGTACTAGGGATTAAACTCCAGGTTGTCAACCTCTAAGCCAAATCCTAAACCCACCCCTTTTTATTTGAGACAGGTTCTTGCTAAATTGCTCAGAACCTCACTAGGTTGCTAAGGCCGGCTTTAAACTTCCGATTCTCCTGCCTCAGCCTCCTGAGCCACTGGAATTATAAGGCATGCACCACTATGCCAGCTCCTTGAAGAAATTTTGGTCCATTACAATTAAGTATGTCTTAAAAGAGAGAGAGAGAGAGAGAGAGAGAGAGAGAGAGAGAGAGAGAGAGACTCACTCTTCTTTTTTGCTGTTGGAAAAACATCTGTCTGCCTGAAATATCTTTGAACCTTGAGACTATAGCTGATAACAGTTGAAAGTAAATTTTCCCAATGTCATTCCTTCCTCCTACATCAGCCAGGAATGTCAAATTATAAATATGCAAAAAGAAAGAGTTCATGCTGTGACAACTACTTAAGGCCTAAAYGATCCTTTCTTTGGACCTTTTATATTTTCATAAATACTTTGCAGTAATTGAAAATGTCCACTCAAATGTCTCAAATAGGCCAGGGTGGTACACTGTTAACTTGAGAAACTGGTTACATTTTTGTTTTGTTTTCCTAATTTTAAACTTGTCTTGCTAACTTGATTCATAAGCTCCAGGACCACATCTTAATACATTTCCGTCCCTTTCACTGGACGAGTACACTGGAAGCTGTTTGGGCTGGGCAGTCCATTAGTGCTGACCTTGTTGGCTTCTTCGTACACTAAGTTGCCATTAGAGATACTGTCATTTCTCTCCTGGGCTGTGGAGCACAGAGCAAAGGAACCCGGGGAGAAGCTCCTCATCATTCCTGGTCCAGATGAAGGCATGGCTTATTTTTTAAAAGCTTGTTCTTTATTTTACTTCTCTTTCCTATTAAAATTCACTTAATGAATATTTAGTGAGCCCTGTACTAAGCTCTACAGGTACAGTGTTGAGCAAGACAACAGTTTGTGCTTTTTTTTTCTTTTTTTTTTTTTTTTGGTACCAGGGATTGAACTCAGGGGTACTCAACCACTGAGCCATGTCCGCAGCCCTATTTTGTATTTTATTTAAATACAGGGTCTCACTGAGTTGCTTCGCGCCTCACTTTTGCTGAGGCTGGCTTTAGACTCAAGATCCCCCACCTCAGCCTCCCAAGCCCCTGAGATTACAGACATGCACCACGCACGGC